AGAGAGAGAGAGAGAGAGAGAGAGAGAGAGAGAGAGAGAGAGAGAGAGAGAGAGAGAGAGAGAGAGAGAGGAGATGGACACACACGAAAAGCAGCAGCTGAGTGAGGGTCCAATCCGTCCCTTAACAAAGCCACTATAGCCTTAAAGGTCGCTCATGGCTTTGCACACAAAATGTTTTGGGAGACAAGTGACTAGGGCTCCAAGTGAAATTAGACTGGTCAGGGGAATTGGCTAGGGAGTAAATGTGAGAAGTTGTGAAAATGGTAAAACTGATATCACATAATGAACAAATAGTTAAATTCATCATGGGAATGGGAGGATAAGATGTGAAACAAAGAAAGCAAATGAACAAGCATGATCATGTAAAAATGATATTTTAGGCAACTTGAACGTGCAAAAGAGTAAATTCTATAATTGATTTTTAGTTAAATTTGAAATGTTTTGCACGTGTGACGAAATTATAAAATAATTTTGTTGCATTTTTTAATACTTTTTTCTTCAAATTAGGTGTCGATAACTTTGCGTTAATGCATACCGATTTTAATCAAGGAACCCGAATCTCTAGAAGGTTCAAAAATGACATAAAAAAAAATCCTTGCTCAATTTCAACGTGCGAGCAAAATATTTCCAAATTTAATGAAAAGTCGAATTTATATAGAATTTGCCTATGTGTATTGCCATCTAAATGATATCACTGACACAAATTAAAATTGTAGTCAAATATGAACAATGGTGCAAAAGTCCACCGAATGCAAAGGCACAAGAGGACAACCTAACCTCTCCAAAGATGCCAATGGATCTCGACATATCGTGTGCCTTGAGCTGGAGTTTCCATTAGTAGGTTGTGCACCGTACTGAAAATCGTGGTTGCACTAGAGTGCCTTCAACTAATCAATTGGAAACTTTTCTACGCGGCCGTAGTTGCTTAAGATATAATTGAAGCATGTAAAAAAAGAAGAAGGATGCTTATCTAGTAAACCATAATATCCAGATGATTCCAACTGCAGGAGCTCGTAGTGTTGAAAGGAAGCAGTGACAAAGAGACTTTGGCATCCCACCGACTGATAAAATTACCCGTGTTTTGGCATCATGGCATCAAGTTCGATGCTTGTTAACCACCGGTATGTTCGAGCGTGTAAACCACTGGTATGTTGAAGCCTCTCTTGCCTGATGTGCATTTTTGCTATGCTACAATGCATGCCGAACCGGTGGGGTGAACGATTTGTCTGGCAACACCAGAGTTCTGTTTTTTGTCTGGTAGGTCAAGCCCCCAGAGAGCTCATGCATTGGAACTAAATGGTCGGGAAATGTAGTGGTGGTTTATGAGGAAGGGGATGACATATGCCCTTGCAATTTACAGAAGAATCCAGCGGCCTAGGTCAGTTGGTAAGGCTCGCAAGTGGCATTCCGGAGGTCATGGGTTCAATCCCCATTGGCCTCATGCCTTCCTGGGCTTACTTGGCACCCGCTACCCAAGAGATAGACCACTGGATCCCCCTATCGGCATCAAGCAGTCTGCTATGTTCGTAGGGGAGGGGCCTGAGGGGAGGCACGKGGGATTGGTCCGCTTTATCCCTGGTGCTACCGGCCGTCCCCTGGCTGGTATCCTGCAGGCTCGAGGGGCCGTGAAAACACGGCTCTGGTATGCTACGGGTTTCCCCGTATGCCTATAGGTAGGAGTAGTGGTAGGTAGGTAGTGTGAGGAAAAAATTGAGAGAAGAGTTAAAAAAAAAAACCAACAATTTACAGAAGCTCCTCAGTGCACTTTTGAAGGAAAGGGCCTGGAAAAGCCTGTTGCTGGCCCACAACGGTTAGAGTGGCAAAATGAAGAGATGGCTAAGGTTTGTAGGGGTATATAGAAAATAAATTGGGCCCTTAGAAATTGGGTACGTAAACATACGCGCATAGTATCCGTTTCTTTGGAAGAAACGCCCTACGATCGTCGCGCATCGACAGTTGTGAGATATGTCGCACAAAACTGGGTTTCCCTTTGCGGTACTAAACTGCTGGAAGTGGGACTTGGTTCCCGCTTTCCCCTGTTGTTTTTCCAGAAGAGGGGTATATTGCAAAGCTCCTGGGTCCAACTAACAGGGGGGGTAGTTCACAGAGTCAGAAAGGCATTCCGCTCCCCCACATCTTTCAGGGGTATTTTGGCATTCATCTCTTTTTTTTGGGGGGGTTTAGGCGACAGACCTGAGCGGTCATCGCCGAGGGGATTGGCCCGGATTCGAACGCAGGAAAAGTCGCTCTGCGCGGCTCATGGTGCTTTGGAACGGACCTCTCGTGCAGGGCACAGCGACACGGGCAAACGGGAAAGCGGGAGGACGCCGGCCATCGGGCAGAAGAGGAGAGTGCTGTAGGAGGGGTGCGAGAGGGAAAGGAGAGT